GGGCAGACTTGCATTCTAATTACTGAGAGAGTTCAGCTGGTGTCTTGGCTTTCCATGCCTTTTTACACCGTCAATACTTTTTCCCTGTGCCATTCCACATTATTACAAATAACTTCATTTCTGGACATTTATGGTTTGATTTCTTTGTATGTTTGGATCACTTGGGTTGTTACTGACATCTGGTGAAAATTTCATGTCATTAGTACCTCTAGTAATATATTTACTGAGAAAAATGGTGACGTATTAAATACTTATTTTACCTGCTGTATGTGGTCACGAGTGTCTGCAACTGTTATTTTGTGGGTCGAAGCAAAAAAGTTTGAAAACCACTGATCTAGTGGATAAGTGACACAACACATCTGACAACTTTCATCTTCAGCTGTTGATAATAATGTTGATCAATAAAAAACTTGATTAGTGCTCATAAATTTAGCCCCTAAATTTAGCAAGTGCTAATCCACTAATAAATTAAGAAATTAGCAAAAGTCCTAAAGCACTAACCAGAAAATTAGTTGCCCTATTAGTGCTTTGGGGGAACTGTGCCCACCACTGGCTTTTAGGCATCTTTGGTCGATTATTTTAAATTACAACAGAACGTTTATACTCTRGATATTATTAAACTTCATCCAAACATTGAGATGTTTGTAAAAGTTTTTACACAACAAAGTGAAATTAAAAGTAACGTAAGTGATGAAAATAATCTTTTTCCTGTTTTGTTTGTCTCTGCAGAGATGAATTCACCCACCGATCTTTTTGATGATTCCTCCCCTCAGACACACAGCTTCGCTCACATTCTCTCGTCCGCGGACCTCCCTGCTGCTCACTCCGCTCCTGCCTTTAGGCCCCCCGGCTTCCCCCTCATCCACCACCTCCTCCAGCCAGGTGGAGGCCCCAGGGGGATCGGAGGGGCGCTAACCGCAAACCTGAGCAAACAGGCGGAGGACAGGGGCGCTGCAGACGAAGGCGACGGGCCCACGGCGGCCGGACAGCTGGAGATGGAAGGAGCGGAGGAGGCGATGAAGAGGGAGGACCACCTGTTGGAGGCGAAGAAGAGGAGCGGCAACGCCGAGCTCATAGCCGAGTGGCGTCACGACGTCCTGAAGGTGAAGAGGATGAAGCTGGAGTGCCGACAGAGCGACAAGGGGGCGCAGAGGGGAGCAGGCAAGAGGCGCGATGGGAGGAGACGAGAGAGGGAGGAGCTGAAGGAGCAGCTGGAGGAGGCCAGGGAGAGGCTGCAGGCCCTGCAGGAGAAAGTGTGGCGGGCCTTCGGGGAGAAGCGCATGGCAGAGAAGGAGGAGACGAGGAAGCGCCACAACGGTAACAGCGACGAAGGCGAGGAGGAGCWGATGGAGGAGGAGGACATGATGGGAGGGATGTATGACGAGGAGGACATCGATGGTGCAGAGATGGAGAAGGAATCCTTCTCTCTCCTCTCTGACTCCCCTTTTAACCACTTCCACAAACAAAAAGAGGAGCTGCATGAAGACAGGAAGAGGAGGACGGAGAGAGGGAGGGGGAGACAAACGGACGGCGTGATGGAGGGATCGGGGTTGTGGTTGGACTGCGGGGGGCTGATGAGAGACTGGGATGGAGGGATGGAAGACGAGGRCGAGGAAGGACAGAAGTTCGCTCAGGCGCTGAAGTTGGAGCTGGGCAGTGCCRTGGCCCGAGTCATCGACCGAGTCCTTCGTCTTTACACGGAGATGACGGAGGTCGCTCCGTCCTCGCCCGCCGCCGCCGTGTCCATCCTCCCGTCTGATCCGGGACACGACGCCGGGAAGGAGAGGGGAGGGTGGGCCGGACTTTTGACCAAAAGAAGGGTGGAGGAACTGAAGGASAAGGTGGACGGAGACACGGAGAAGCAGGGTCAGAACGGGGGAGGCCTCCCTCCTGGACCGCCGCGTCGCTCCGAGCCATCAGATCTGGCAACGCCGCTGGCTGTCCCCAGGTCACCTGACAGGCGAAAGACCTACCCGCTCCTCGGACCCCCGCTCGCCCCCTCTCACCTCGCTCTCCATCACTCGTCTTTGCCCCGCCCCACTCCTCTCCCTCACCCTCCCATCTTACCCCCCGTTTCTCAATCCAAGGATCACTCTTCCTCCTCCTTCCACCCGTCGTCCTCCTCCTCTTCTTCCTCCTCCTCCTTCCCCGCGCCTCCCCCTCCCCTGCCTCCGCCCCTCCCCCTGCCGCTGCTCCACTACTCCATGCAGCAGCTCTTCTCCCGCTCGCTGCACCACCCGCAGCTCTCGCACCTGGGGCCGTCCCGCAAGGACTACCTGGGCTCKGACCCGTTCCTGGAGTTCTCGTCCCACCCCTCCTTCACCCCGCTGCCCCTGCTCGCTCACCTGGACCAAACCCTGACGCGCCACGGAGGCAGGGACAGGGAGAGAGGGGTGAGGGGAGACGGGGGCATGAGGGGGGGAGGGATGGATGGAGATCTCTACCTGACCGCCGGAGGAATATCCTTTTTGTTTTTTAGCCTACTAAAACGAGTGTTTGTGTTGATGTTTGTGTTGTTTTCTTTAACTGACATCGTGTGTACACTCAGGAGGGCTTGTCTCCCTGCCATCTGAAGAAAGCAAAGCTCATGTTCTTCTACACCCGCTACCCTAGCTCCAACACGCTCAAAACGTACTTCCCTGATGTCAAGGTTAGTGTCCCATCGTTAGTGATGAAAAATATTTCCCTAAAATTATTATACCTACAAAATGACCAAAAAAAAAGCTTATTTTTCTTTTACTTGTGAACGTTAAACAAAAAGTCTCTTCATTAAAAGCTGGGTTATGAAATTCTGCATGCCAGAAACTTTATGCCACACTGAGGGACAGTTGATGTTCAGCTTGAAGACTGACAACAATTAAAGTAACGTGTTACTTTCTCACCTTGGTGTTTTCGCACCACGCCCTGATCAACTGCTTCTTCTGACTTTATGAACATGTTGGAATGGCACAATGTCCATCTAGAGGTTTAGCCCAAAACTTGGGACAATTGAAACTTAAACTTAGGATAAGTTCAATAGCTGGCAGCTCCAAAGCTCCAGCTGAAGTCAGCGTGTTTATGATATTTTGCAACAAAGTGGTTGTAGCGAGCAGAAAGTGGAACACAGAGGACTTCATGCCACACAGTTTTGACGGTTAGTTTAAAAACTGAGGACGATTAAAGCACTGAAGGTTTCTGCAGGGCTTGAACCTGCAACCTCAGCATTATTAGAACCATGTGAGCTAACYGGCTGTTGACAGATGAGTGTTAGAATGTGTTTAAAAGGACATAAAGTCCATCTAGATGTTCGACTTGAAGACTTGGAACAAGTAAAATCCAGCTGGCCTGTACAGGGATCGAATCCACCACCAGTTGGTAGTTCCACTTCTAGTTCAGGCTTATTTTCTGTCCCATGGAGGCTTGAATACAATATTCGACAAACCACAAAATGCTTGTAGCAGCCAGAAAGTAAAGGAGTTTATGCCACACTGACAAGGAGTCTAAGTGTTTCAGGGTTCCTACAGCTTAAGGCAAGTTGAATTTAAGACCTCTTTAGGCCAGTTGAGATTAAATTTAAGACCCAATTCACAATAAATACAAATGCAGAAAAAAAAACGGTGACAATTTTACTCAAATGTTTATTTTAAAACAGAACAACTATTAATTATTACAAAAACAATAACATAAATGTTGCCAATTATTTTAATATTTGAGAATTTACAATCATCCTACTTAGTGTGTTAACATTTTTAAGACCTCCGAAAGATTTATTTAAGACATTTTAAGGCTAATTAAGGCCTTATTTTTGGATTGACAAATTCAATGCCTTTTAAGACTCCGCAGACACTGTTCTGTGCAATCCCTGCACATTTTCTGTGCAGGGATTGAACCCACAACCTCAGCAGCATTAGCAGCGCACGCTGAGCAACTGAGCTATCCAGCCTTGTAACTGCACTGCAGAGCCGGCTCTTGGCATAGGCGAACTAGGCGGTCGCCTAGAGCGCCATCTGCTGGAGGGGCGCCGAACTGCAGAAGAAAAAAAGTAATTATTTGTAATCCCTGGTTGTAACTCTGCTCAGCGCCAATCAGCAGCAATCACCCCCACCCTCTCTCTCATTTCATTGACGTTGCACTGAGTCGTCCTGCTCCGACACTCTGACGGGGGGAGGGGCTAGCAGTGCCTCTCAGGTTTGTGTTGAAAAACTCAATAACAACAAGTCTGTATTTTGTTGTTCCATACATGTCAACCTCTTCGGACGTTTACCTGGATAAAAAGCCTCAAAAAATCCGTAMATTTTGCAAAAATATCCACACAACTCACACCCGCAGGGGGGTTGTCAGCGGCATAATAGGTTGGATGATGGCTGTTTAATGTTATTTATTGTTATTTATTGTTTTTAAATCATCCTACAGATACAGATAAATTTGAAAATGAGGTTTTGAAAAAATCCGTAAGACTTGAAAAAATCTGTGAGATTGCCCTATACATCTGTATACCTGCAAAATGACGTCAAATCCTTATAAGTTATGGACAATCCGTACAAGATGACATCCATCCATCCATTTTCTTCCGCCTATCCGGGGTCGGGTTGCGGGGTCAGCAGCTTCAGAAGGGAGGCCCAGACCTCCCTCTCCCCAGCCACTTCTTCCAGTTCCTCCGGGGGAACTCCAAGGCGTTCCCAGGCCAGCCGAGAGACATAGTCCCTCCAGCGTGTCCTGGGTCTTCCTCGGGGCCTCCTCCCGGTGGGACGTGCCCGGAATACCTCAACAAGAGGCGTCCAGGAGGCATCCTTACCAGATGCCCGAGCCACCTGTATAACTGGTCGCAGTCCTCCTGGCACTTAACAGCATATACAAC